TGAAAAATGATAAAGTGATGTGGTCCAATCAAATGAATGATAGGTACGATACCCCATATTTTAGAAAGGTACCAGAGTTGTCACCTTAATTTTATTTGAAAGCTAAAATTAGAAAACCAATCCCGTTTTAGTCCAATTAAACATTATTCTAGTTTCTAGTCCTCTTTGTGCACATGAAAGGACTTTTGGTCCTATATAGGGAATTTACTCTTTTATTTATCAATAGGAGAATTTTCTCCCCAACTGAAGTCTACTGGTTGTGGACCTATTTACACGCAAATATTGTTGTGCAATTTTTGTTATTATTTATTACGGAGTAATATATTTACTCTTGTAACTTCTAAACGATTGTATAAACATACATTTTGACGAGCACTTTGTCATAGTGTGTCAAAATAATTCAATACTAACACTTATACGTAGTATAGTGAAGTAGAGTTTGTATCCACATAGAAATGAGTAATTCTCTTTTCTATTGAAACTGGTAAATAAAAAGGGTGGTTTTGGGATTGTTGGAATTAAATTAATTTAAACACCAAGATGAACAACTTATATGTGGTTTAATTCAAAGATAAAAAGAATTTGGCCTTGCTACTTTCCACTTGTTGATATATTTAGTCGATCATTATTATATCTTTAACTTATCCCCTCTCGAATACTCATCTCCAATTCATCGAGGGTAGTTATTAATAACGACCGCTCATTAATAACCATTACTATTAATCAAATATAGAACAACGTCATATACCGATTTAATAGTAGCATTTAATCTTTTAACTCCTTGATGAAATCAATTGAGATTGATAACCTCAACACAACGGTTTCGGTTTAATCAACACAATTAATCCCTCTTAAATTTATTAACCACGACCGTGCATTAATAAACCGAATTTACTTACTTGTGAAACCATCAACGATTAACCATCGGTTCATTGATCGTTTCTAGTAGTAATTAATGTCAATATATTAACTAATTGTCATCTTAGAAACACTCCCCAACATTAATATAGATAGATTAAGGGAAGAATTAATATTCAAGGGAAGAAGTTAAGAAAATAACTCACAACTTTAATAATCAACCAGCTTCAACAGCAACACCAAGAAATGGGAGTTTAACTCCTCATTTGGAGACTAAACATGCTAGAAAAATATAAAGAAATGTTATTCTAAACTGAGCTTAAGAGTATGAAAGAAGGAGTGAAAATTAGTGAAGGAAAAATGTGTTATTTATAGGTGTTTTTCAACACCTTTGGCTGGGTACCCGATCAGGTATAGTGCCTACCCGACATGGGTACCGGTCAAAATCAAATATTTCTCCACGTTCTTGTGTTTCAGCAAATCATTTTGTCCCTGGTCACATCTGACCCGACCGGGTCTGGCAATTTCCTGAGCATCTTCGGTTTTCACTTCTTACCCGACCGGGTGCAAGGTCCTACCCGATTAGATTTTAGCTCCTGGATAGTCAAATATCATTTTTCTTCACTTCAAAGTACTCCTTTCCAACACCATAATTCCTAACTCTACTTTACAACTTACAATACAATTCCAACTAAAATCATACAAATGTTTACAAACTAAATAAAACGGTAAACAATCCACACAAATCAAACATAAAAACATATATTTATGCACTACTAATTAGTGCATATCACATTTCTTATAAGGAATCGTAAGGCAGGAGGCACGGCCGGTTAACCAATATTCGGTTAACCGCGATTTCAGTTACTTTATTGTCAATACCATTATTAGTGCCATAAAATGCGTTAACTGGGCATCGGCGAACCAAAATTTCAGTTAATCACTAAACAATTAACCAAATAACAACTGAAAATAGTAAACCTGCCAAGTTAGTAAACATCTGATTTATCAAACAAAAATGCATAAGTTGTTCAAGATTAAAATAGAAATAATTCCACTATAATCAAAAAATAAAAATGTGTTTGTCATAATGAAAGTGAATTGTCTATCTATGTTTGTATATTGAGGAAGCGGTCTACCTCAACTAATCGCCGACTCACTTTCCCTTGTGGCAGGTCTTGGGTTCCAAACTCTGAAACACTTTCAGCCATGTTTACCCCAGGCCCCCAGCCCTCAGGCCCCCTTCTCCTGCCCCCCATTGGGGTAAAACAATGCAACTGCCACTCGACTCTTTGCATCAGCATAAGTAAGTGATAACCACGCATGGTGGTTTGTATTAACTTATATGCTTTCATAGCATCAATATTTCTAAAATCTATATTATAATCTTTCTTGGTCTTGCAACTTTTATAATATGATAGAATTTTGAGCACTGATCAACGCAAGAAATCTCGGTAGAAGGGACAGCAGTGTAAAAAATACATGCTAAAACATACTCCGTATATATTAAAATTTTGGAGTAAATATACTTTGTAAAAAAAATATTTAGGGGAGCGGTGGCCCCCACTTGCCCCCCTGATGGATGGGTACCCGGGGGGTAGCTTATCCGGGGGGTTATTATGAGAATAACTTGGAGAGAAGTCAGAGCAAACAAGAAGGAGAGAGAGGCGATTGTATTAATGAACTCGAGATGTTCTGGTCCTTTATAATGGGAAAAGGAGGTGCTATTTATAGCAGCAATAAATGCGATGAGAGTACACGTGTCAGCAATCTAACGGCCGAGGGGTCACCTCAATCGGGTGGCACTGGCGTTCGCATGTGCACCGCATTGAATGCGGTGGGTGGATGTGACGCCGCATTAAATGCGGTGGTTGCTTGTCTCCAAAGGGAATCTTCGATGATTGAGTTGTTGGCTGAGGGCTTCCCCTGCGGCTGAGGGCTTCCCCTGCGGCTGAGGGGTCTGTGTACCCAAAGGCGCTGTACAACCGAAGGCTTCCCAGACGCCGAAGGCACGAAAGTGCCGAAGGCTCCTGTTTTCTGTCATTTTCTCCCGATAGCTTTGTATGCTCAAATCTGGCTGCCCTGTCCAATTTGGAGCCCTCGGCCAAGGAGGCCGAAAGCACCCTTGTGCGTATTTTGGGCGCCTTGACACTTAGGCCGCTGTATTTGGGCCCTGGGTGTGTATTGGGCTCATTAGGCCTGTGCGGTAGAAGTAGGAGTCTGTGGGCCGGGGATCCCTGGGCTATATACTCCGTCACCCCCTTTGACTCCGTAGTTGCTTTTGAGTTTTGACTAAACTCTCAGACTTGGAAAATATTTAGTGATGGTCAATTTTTTTATTTATCGAAGGTAAATATGTATTAAAAGTATATATATACTCCTTATTTTAAGGTTTGCTATACTTTTCTTTTTGGAATGTATTTAAACATTTGTTACACATTCCTTTTTTGGTAAATTTTGCCTTTAAAAATCCCCAATTACTTTTACTTTTTTCTACTCTTTATCTTTTATTTCACACTTTCACACTCTCCTTCTTATTTTTTCTACACTATTCATTACCATTACTATTTTCTCTTTAAAATCGGGATTATCTCCAACCCTACTTCACTTAAACAAACAAGCCGTTTTGCTCACAAACAAAATTTTATCATTGTAATATGGGATTTGAATTCTCTACCTGGTTTTGTCAGCTAGGTAGGATGTAAGACTTTAACAGCCGTCCGATTCGTTTTTGTCAGCCATCTCTCACAGCTCTCCTCCAATATCATGTTAGGCTCAAGAAAAGTTGTTGAATAACAAGTTATGGACTTCTCTACATTCCAAGGGAATGTAATTAGAGGCGGGCCCAACTTTTTTACACGAATAAATGATCAATGTATGTCGACTGAAGGGTAAATTTTATCGGACGACAATTAGGTCGACATTACTATATGGCATAGAGTGTGAGCAGTGAAACAATGGCATATTAAAAAAATGAATGTGGCACTGATACACATAATGTTGGAGATGTGGACATACCAGAAAAAACTAATTGAGGAATGAGATAATAGGACAAAATGTAGGAGTGGCACAAATAGAAGATAAGGTGCAGAGTCTCGATTATGATGATTTGGTCATGTGAGTGACAGACCGAGTGATACACTTCTTAGACGAATTGAGATGTGAGGAGATGAAGGATGGAAAGACTCAAACAAACGTGAATCAGAAAAGAGTGATATGCTTATTCTTGGATTGAATGAGACCATGACGTTAGAGAAAACAAAATGAATGGATTGATATCTTTTCGGTCTTTTTTCTTTTTATCTTCTTTATCTTTTTTATGTGCTTTATCTCTTTATCCTTTTGATTTTACATATTTTCTTTGTATCCTATTTACCTTATCATTTTTATCTTTATCTTATACTCTGTATTTAGCTTTTTCTTTATCTTATTAAAAAAATCCTTTCATGTGCTTTATCTCTTTATCCTTTTTATTTTACATATTTTCTTTGTATCCTTTTTACCTTATCGTTTTTATCTTTATCTGTATCCTTCTATATTCTATTTTATTTTCTTTATCTTATTCTTTTTATCTTATGTTAACTCTTTATCTATCTTATCGATCCCAAATTTTTTTGAGCCTAATTAAGTCTTTTACCATATACCAACATTAGATGTTTGACACAAACCTGTAAGGCTGTAACCTTGTTTCAATCCGCTCTTACATGATGCCAATTAGGGGTGGACTCGGGCCGGTTCGGGCCTGGGCCGGGCCTAGGCCCGGTTGGGCCTCCAGTTCAGGAATGGGGGCCGGGAACTGGCCCGGGTAACCCCCGGTTCCGGGTCGGGCCGGGCCTCGGGCCGTAGCTATATTTTTTTTCTTTTTTCTAGTTAACCCCCAACCCTCCCCCTCACCCCCAAACCACCCCAAATGGCCCAAAATACCCAGCCCAACCCGAAAAGTAAAAAAAATTAAAAAATAAAAAATAAAAAAGCCTGGAACCGGGCCCGAACCGGCCGGGCCGGTTCATGATTTGGGGGGCCCGAGCCCGGACCGGACCCCCAACGGGTCGGGCCTACCCGGACCGGTCACTGACCGGGCCACCGGGTCGGGCCACCCGGCCCGACTCCACCCCTAATGCCAATGGTCGAGCCAGTCAAGTGCCATACGGAGTACGGACATACATTTGCATAAAAACTTCCCAATATGCAGAAACAAAAATATGATACAGAAATAAAATCCAGTGTGGTTTAGTATAGATGTGGTGCCGCCTCTCCCATTAGTCCCGTGGTCAAGTTGATTCTCTTGACACCCCTACTTTACACACAATAGACCAGCAGCTCGAAAAACATCCTGTTCCGAGTATGCACACAATATCACACATGAAAAATGATAAGAGTTGTGTCCCCCAATGAGACGTGAAAGCATTTGTAATACAGGCCCCCCTCTTACTCTTCCCCGGGCTGTTTCAGCATATGCGTTTTAGTGTATCTCCGGTGGCGCCTCTCTCTCCCATAGACGACCCAGAATGTAAGAGAGAGCATTACTGCAACAGCAACCACAACTAACCCACTATAGACCCACTCGCTGTAGCGACGTAGACCAGGACAGTGTGATGTGTGTATTTCGTTGAAAGTGACTCTCACAAAATCACAGTTTTGGAGATCGGTAAGGAACTGGCCGTAATGGTACAGCCCGAAGCTTACATTCACAGCAGCAGCCATTTGGGAGTAAATCATGGGTGTCAGACGACCCGTTGTGATGCATATGCCACTAGAGGAAACTTTGCATACATAGTTACTCCAGACCTGCATCGTGTCACACAAAAAATATGCTCTTGTAAGTAAAAACACTCTTGTTTTGATCATTTTGATGAGAATCAAAACACTCAAACATATGAGAATCAAAACACTCAAACATAGAGAGACACTTTGATTCTCATCTTCGAATTTTTCCACTCTAAATCGTCTTACTGTTCTTTGAATCTCGTCTTTATTTCATTTTTTCCCCTTGGCTTATTGTGACAACTGACAATGACACTTGGTAACTCAATCAATCAATCAATCATCATTTACCCCAGTGCCGCAAAGGCTCCCACCTACAGTGGGGTAAGGAGGGGTCGGATGTACACAGTCTTACCCATGTACTAAAGCACAGAGAGACTGTTTCCCGATGACCCATAGTGAAAATTGCAACCAAAATTGCATGGACTGACCGCTACTTCATAACAAAGAAGCGCAAACAGTTAGGTGAGCCATTTTGCTTTATTCCATCATATTCTCAAGCCAAAAAATAATGAATCTTTGGCTCCATTGCAAATGATAAAATTTATCTAAATAGTCATAGGACTAAAAGAGTAAAAGTTCAATGACATGTACCTAGTGTCTTGACTCTTGACACAATATTGAGTCCTAAAACGAAAACATTCACAGATGTGTACAAATTAAAAAAAAAAATCACTGTGACTATCTAGACGTTAGAAACATTATGAAACCTCATCGTTTTCAAATAATTAAACACATACGGAGAACACAGCATTTTCAGACCATGAAGCATTATTCCAAATGAAGTTACAGACACACCAGAGACTAGAATAAATTGTAAACATTCCTCACAGTTGGCAAGTTGTATAAGATTGTGGATTATGCATCTCATAACATCAAAAGAATACGATTTAACAAACATGGCCATTATACATTTCCCAACTACCCAAAACAGAAAGTAGCACATTCATGATATCTCATCAAACGCTTTCAAATCCTTAGGCTGTGTTTGGATCTCTGAATATGCTAGTAAAAGAGCAATAATGATGAAAAAAATATTTTTATGTTTTACTGTACTTTGAAAAATGCAATTAAAAATGAAATATTATTCATTTATTTTTTAAAAAAAACTATGTTTTCCCCAATGATTTATCTAGCTTTCTTAGTCTTTATATGATTAAAAAAAATGAAGTTTGAGTCTATCCTTAATTTTACCTGATAATCTTCTTTCCCTTCCCACTTTCTTCCCTATTACCTACCTAATTTCTTTCTCTAATTTTTTACAGGTTCCAAACGGACCCTTAACAAATGCGAAAATACAATGCAGTACCTTTGTCGCTCTGCTCAAGTGCACTTCTCCAAGAGCACATGCCCGATCCGTTAGGTCAGCATGAAACGGATTGCAAAGGATTGGAACCTGAGGTCCGGATTGGTTGAAGTAAAGAGGACCAGAGTTGGGAGGAAGGTTATTGTTTGAGACAGTGGTGATGAATTTGTTATTGACATCAGAGAGTTGGTATGTAACTTCCTTGCTCTTCTTCAAAGTTTCTTGTGCAGTGGCGTTGTCCACACATGGCAGTATGTCATCCAAAGCTGTATGAGCCGTTGGGTTTTGGACCCACTGATTCATTGCCACGCAAGAATCTGCTGTCACACTGAGTGCCATGCCCCACACAAATCCATCATATTTATCAGTACAACAAAAACATCCAGACCTTATTCCCAAAAGATTTTGGGGTTGGCTAATGAACTATTTTGAAACTCCCACCTATGGCTAGGGTCTACGTAGACCCAGCCTGGCACGTGTAATATTAACTTGACATAACTCACCCCAAAAGAATCCTCAATATATGAAAACTTGTATAATAGATTCAAGCCTAATAGACAAACTATGTGAGATACTCAACATATCATGCACCACTAGCGCTTTTTACAAGGTGCTGCAATAATAATAACTCTAAAAAGCTCAGGGAGCATTGATATATTTGAATCTGAGCAGCTTACTTGTGAAGAAGAAGAAATATGCCACATAAAATGAAAGTCGCAGTTATAAGAATCCATCCAATGACCACCAAGCTGCAAAATTGAACCACAAAAAATTTTTACATGGATAAACAACAAAACCACACATAAACAAAGGAAAGAAATGAGAAGAAGGTTGGAAAGCTACAGAGAGTTTGTATATATAGAAATAAGGGAAAAGGGTCAAATAGACTCTTCTACTATTTTCAATCCATCACTTAAGCCCTTCTACTAAAAAACATCATATAAGTATGTTTACTTTTAAAATACAATTAGAGACCGTTTGGCAACACTGTTTTTCGGCTTATCAGGATTTTCAGCCAACTTTTTTACCAAACACGTAACTTTTGCTTTCGCGCATTGAATTGTGTAATAAGCAGAAAAAGTAAGGTTAGAGTTACTTTTCTGTCTGTATTGGCTGAAGTTACTGTAGATGACCATTTTAGCTATTTTTACATATAATTTTTTCTTTATTTTATTAATAAAATATATTTTAAAAATATTTTTTTCCTAAATCAGCAGAATCAGCCGATGCAGCCACATCAGCCAGAACTTCATAAATTTCAGCAGAATCAGCTAAATCAGACGATTTTCTTGCTACCAAACGGGCTTTTAATCAAGCCATTTTGACCTGCCATAGCAATTATTTTTAAAAAAAATAAATTAGGACTATTGAAAAATCTTATAAAAACTCATATCAATTTGAAAAATAATTTAAAAATGTTGAAGAAAAAAACAAAACATCAGAAAACTGAAAAATAAAGTTAAAATGTAAAAAATGTAAAATAAAAATGTAAAAACCTTTTAAATAGATGTAGAATATAAAAATAATTTCAAAAATTAAAAAAATTAACTTTGACATTCTGAAATTTTACACAATTTTTAGCTATATTTTTATATTTTAACAATTTTTTAGTACTTTTTAATATAAAAACCTACTATTACAAGTCAAAAACTGATTAACTGGTCAATTAGATCAATTGTTTTAAGTAGCGTACTGATATGATACCTTTTTTGTGTAGGGGCTTAAGTGATGGATTGGAAATAGTAGAAGGGCTTATTTGACCATTTTCCCTAGAAATAATGACTAATATAAGTCTAGATACAAATAATTAACAAAAAGATTACTTTAAATACAGAGTGACAATTGTGGTAATTTCAAAGTGACTATCATCACCCATGGTGATGTTCAACTTTACAATGCTAGTATTTTCAAAGTGCCAAATATGTAGTCATAATTTTGCATACCAGTTTTATTTTAGTAATATTATAGATAAACCCCATAGAGAGAGAGAGAGCACACCAACTCACATGTACACAAGAAACTGCATCCCGAATATAGAAAACACTGGTGATCAAGATAAAGCCAAAATGAATGAATTAGTCATCAAAACTATTTAAAAATTCAATATTCATGAATCAGCAATAAAAATGCCCTCTTACCGAATCCAAGAAATGTTAAAAGGAGCATAATAGCAGATAGAACAATAAGAGCCACTCTCCTGCATTGAAGTATATGTTGTGACTGGATAGAGAATACAGAGAAATGCTTTAATAAAAGATTCATTAATTTCACTTACACAGACTCTATCAGGTTGTCTATATCATCTTTGTTTTCTGAAGTTTTACTAGCAAGTTCACTCGAGGAAGAGTTGATCTTGGTCAGGATGTCATCGATATCACTTTTCACATTACCAGGAAGAAGAAATTGAGCCACTGAGACCTGTTTGGCTGCTGCCAGATAACCTGAGACATCCCTGAGAGTATCTGCTGTTGTATTTGCCTGGTGAACTACATAGTCCAAAGTATTTATTGTACTGCTATGAAATTTTCCCTGTCCAACGTACAGAATAATGCAGCCAACTCTGAACACACAAGAAAAGTGAAATAAATTATAATATATTACCAAAGATGAATTAAGCATTGGTTTAACATTTCCTAAAGGATGTCCCGGAGGAGAATGGTTGATTTATCGTTTTTGAAATTAAGAGAATTACATGTGTATATTGGAAATAATTAAATAATCGAGGCATTGAGTTTATACCAATCTAGTCTAGGATTTTATAGCTTTTACTTTGAAAATTTATCAAGCTAACACACTGTTTTCTGAAAATGAAATATAACTCCTCCCCCATTTCTTCTGCAAAACACTCCTGACAAACATCTTTGAGAGGAAGGTTCTAGATGGGAAGGGAGTAGAGGGGCTAGTTTTATTTTAAATTAAGAGAATGATCTACGGAATTTTTCCATGAATATTACTAAATTAAATTCAAAAGACAAAAATATGACTTACTTTAAAAATTTCGAAACAAGTGACATATTCAGTAAATAGTTCCCAGTGGTTCATCATCTACCAGTGACTTATCACTCTAAAATACACTATTAGTGACTCTTGTCCAATTACTCGTACACGGTGACTAGTCATGTTTCTTCCCAAAAACATAACTAGTCATATTTTTGTCCAGGGAAACTTTATAAGTAATATACATGTCATTTTTTCTACTTGTTATCTACAGCTCAAATTACATTATCAAGAGAGTCCTTTGGAGTTTAAAAACTTAAATGTCATGATCTGGATGGCCCATAAGCTGTTAAAATGAAAAGTGAGAATTAGCATTGAGGGGCGTACACTGCAGCAATAGTAAAGAGAATGAGGAAGATCAGAGAGAGAGCATATGCTAATCGGGAATATCCATAAGGTTCCCTTGCACAGCAGCAGTAGCATACACAAATGAACAACAAGCTTAGCCCAAAGACTGCAAACCATATAAGAGCAGCTACAAAGAATGGAACAGCAGTAAACCCCACAGACTGCAAAAACAAAACAAGAAAATAAGCTATAAACATAATAGACCATAGACTTCATTGAAAAAATAATGACCAACATAAAAGTAATAAAGAAAAGTATGACTTTTAGTGAGGAGACTATAATGGTATTTTCCCAAACTGCAGTGATCGTGGTAATATTCTCCAGGTACTGCAGTGACCATGCAGTCATATTTTTTTGTCTATGAATTCTATTTTAGTAACATAAGAGGAAAAACACCAACTACGTCAAGAGTTGCTTATTCTACCACAGAATATTGTTTTAGTCATACATATAGTTATACTAAGGAAGTTTCTAGTAGCAGGGCCAAGAAGCGGCACATGCTGTAGAGGCTATTTAAGGATATCTCAAAAGGAAGCTACATCTATAACCAAAATAATATGGTTTACAAACAGCTGAGTAAGCCTACATACGGGCAAACAGCAAGAGAACACAGTTTGCCTACATATCAACTAAACAGCATTTTAAGACAACGCCTTTTACTTGTGAAATACAGTTTATTTTAGTGATATGAAAACAGAACACAGGCATTGCAAGTCCGAAATATCTAAAAAGGCATCAATATAGAAAAAACACAAAGGGTCACATCCATATAGAAATCTAAAAAGTTATTAAGCCAATCCTAATACAGTCAAAGGGCAAAGGGAAGCCTGGTGCACATTGGTGACCTCGCAAGGCAAGGATCCAGGGAAGGGTCTTACCACATGGGTGTATAAGGATGCTCCAACGCTCCCATGTAAGGTCAACACAGGCTATCACTAATTCACTACAACCTGCTGGTTTAACAAATCTTCCAGCTAACTTCTCACTTCAAATACACAGATAGTCTATCACTAATAGATCTATGCTTCGGTGCTTCCTCAAAGCCCTTTGACTTCCAGAGCCACTTTGCTCTAAATTAGAAAATTTGCCCTAAATTAGCAAATTACCACAATGTAACATAATTTTAACAACTATTAGTACAATATGAATAACATACAATCACATACTCCCTCCATCTCTAAAATTTTACTTTAACTTTTCCATCTCTTTCCTTCTTTATTACTTCTATCCCTTTTTCACTCTTTTGGCATACGGTAGTCTACATTCCTAAACTTTGGTGCACGGCGAATCAGATAGAACACATAAAGACAGATGGAGTACTTGATTATTATTTTATCTTTTTCAATAAATCAACTACTTGCCTTAACAATGGGCTACTTTAAATTACCAACCGTGGTTTTAGATTTTTAGCAACACAAAACAATCATCAGTATCAAAGAGGGATAAAAGGGTAGGATCCTTACAGCCCAGTAATGGCGGTTACTAATGTTCCAGCCACCCGTGTATTTCTGGAAATCATTGAGAGGGTCTTTCCTGTATGTCCTTTTCGCAGCTAAGATGAGTGATGATGAGTTCAATGGCTGCTCACCACTGGGACTTTCAGCAAGAATCCTTCTTTCCTCTCCCAAAACCACAATATCATCACTATGAATTTCACCTAACATTCCCAAAATAACAATAAATTAAGGGGAAACAAGATTTAATTTTTTTTTTGGACAAAAGGGTTCAGAATACCTGAATTGGGCTTCCCATCTTTTGCCTGAGATGATACGGGATATAAAGAGGAGAAGAGAAGCAAAGTAGCTAAAAGGGGAAATATGAGTGACCCTTTACACAACATTGATCCGTCTGTGCTTCAGAGCAGTGAGAATTCTTCCTGAGAAAGAGGAAATTTCTTCAAGATCAGAAGAGGAAAACTCTTCAAATAAGGAAAGAGAACCCAAGCGTCCAGATGCGTTTCGTGAGCGGTTATAGAATATGATGCGATACTGTATATAATAATAACTGTTGGTAGAACAGGGAGAGATTTCAAATTTGTACGTTTGTTATACTCCGTACAGCAAATGTATATGCGTAAAAATCGTGTCTTTATTTAGAGAGAGTGGGTGTGTGGGGATAGTGGAGAGAGGAGTTGGAATGGTAATATATTTGGACCTCGAGGAGAAGGTAACGCCCGGTAGAAAAAGCGGAGCTGACCGCCGCACGTGGCGGTGCTAGATGTTCAGTCATCTATTCATGCCCGAAACGCCGAGCGCCAAATTTAATTTTACAACTAAATTAGTCGAAAAACTACTCCTTGTTTTTTCAACTCTTGAAGGAATAAGAACAAAATGAAGGAATGATCATAAAAAAACTTTTGAAGGAATAAGAACATAATGATTGTTATGAAATAAATGAAGGAAAAATTAGCAAAGATTAGGGGTCATATCGATACTCCACCCCAAATTGATTTGCAAACTCAACATTTTTCTGTTAACCAATATTAAAGTTAAATCTGTCGCATTGATAATTAATTACATTTTTATTTATATATTCAGAAACTACGTTAAAATCTTTTCAAAGTTGCAAACAAGACGGTCAATGTTGAACTTAGTGAGTTATTCATTTTGTTAAGGGATTGGGTACAATTTTGAGGAGCTGAGGAGTATATGAGAGATTTTACCACTCGATCGTAGATCAAAACCCTCCTCAAACCTCATATCTTTTGTTTGCCGGTGAAAATTTCCTTCTCTTTCGAGCCGACATGGGGAGGATTCAGTAACATGAGAAATGGAACGGAGCCACAGTGGAAAGAAAGGGTGGATTGAATTTTAATTTACAAGGCAAAGAGCAAGAGCGATGAGAATCTGGAAACTTGCTATTCTAAGTGGCCACTTGTTACATAACCTCATTCACTTGCGAGTATCATTCAAATTAGATATTGTATGCTACGAGTTCTTATAGCTAGCAGAGTAGAGAAGCATTTGAGAATTGAGAGGTATGGAGGGGTTATCAATGCTTGTTTTTGCTCAAGGGTGGATGGTGGGCAAACTATTAATATTTGGAGGGATCCCTAGCTTCTGAATTTGGAAGTGACTACGACAACAATACAACATTAGGAAGAAATTCGGGTTGCTAGGTTAATGGATGGGATAGGGGAAAAAAGTTTAGGCCATGGCATCATTTTGGACCTATTTAATGACCTTGACCATAAGGTCATTTTGAGTATCTTGTTGAGTAATTGGGAAGTAGTTGCAAATAAGGCATCTTCCATGTTTGAGTCAAAAGGGTACTTACACTCTTTTGTACAATCTTAGATGTGCGAAGATGCTACATGTATCTCATTGGACAACATATTGCCGCCACCAGCTGTGTGGGGTTGACCACATTGTGAAGTCTTTTTATTCCCCCAACAGTGGAATTTCTTCTTGGAAGCTTGTACCTACACTCTCTACCCGATTTGCTTATGAGAAGAAATGTGGGGTGGTCTAGCTTATGTACTAATGTAGTCATGGACTCGGGTCCGGGTCAGGTCCGGGTCGGGCCTAGGCCCGGGCGGGCTTTTGATTTTTGGTTGAAGGTCTGGGACCGGCCCGGTTTACCACTGGGTCCGGGCCGGGTCCATGTTTTTTTATTAACCCCCGACCCCCCTACCCCCTACCCCCACCCCAAAACACCCCGCCCAACTCAGGAAAAAGCTCAAAACAATGAAAAAACCAAAATAAAAATAGAAGGCCGGGTATTGTGGCATGCATACCAAGGTAACTAGGTAAGCAAAAGCACTGCAACATGCAAGGCTCTTAATTGAGTCAAGGATTTCAACGAGGATTACTTTCAGTTCAAGTCCGGCATAAGGCAAGTTGTTTGTGTCTGGTTGCTCGTGTTGAGCCCTTTGTCCACGCTTATGTATATCTAAAGTTATTGGAAATGGCTTGATTAATTCATGCATATTTTGACTTCTAAAAGTCATTAATTGATAAAATCTTAGACCAACCCTCATAGTAGTGCCATTTCAAAACTTCATGAATGAACGATCACGTATTCACGTTCCACAACTACATTTTCAAATGAACGGCTAGAAAATTAGAAAGTAGAAGGGGGTTTCCCTATATAGGAATAATAATACATAATGCTTAACCTATATCTATACAATTTAAGTCAATCGCTGCTATACTCGCAAAATATTGTCAGAATGATATTGTCATCTTAAACTTATTGCCATTCTAGATTACCAATGGAGTATTGTCATTCTGCAAATGTAATGCGATCTTAGACATATACGATCATACTAATGTTGTCATCTTATAATTGTATTGATATTTAGGACCATTTCGACATATATATAAATATATAAAAGTTGAGAATATAATAAAAAGAGATGGGTTTCAATTGGCAACACATTTTGAACCCGCTCCTGGAGTAGGCAGCTCCATCCTTTTTAATTGAAATATTTAATGGCAAAAACATGAAGAAATTGTGCCTAGAACTTCTTTTAATACTATGTAATGTTATTATCCTAAATAGGATTAAAACATGCTAAAAACTCCACAATACGACTTAACGTTTTATATTTCCTAAATAGGACTCCCTATTACCATTCTACCCTTTTATATTAAATCTTTAAATTCGTCGTCTCCTCTTCCGCTCTTCTCTTCCGCATCGACAAATCTTCTTCCGCTCTTCTCTTCTGCATCAATTGCCCCAGAGCTCTCTAGAAAAGACTGGACACTTGCTACAAAGGAAGGGGATCGAATTGCATAGCAGTGGAAGCTTTATTGTAAGGTGCCATTGAATCTACTCAGGAGGGCCATGTCCGCAGCATCTTTTCCAGTCGACATGTGTGTCCAGATAAATTAAGTGTTTCTCCTTTCTTTCTTCCTCTTTTTCTCCTCCTCTAGTCCTCCCTCTTTTCTTCTCCTTCCTTGAGTTCCTTCTACTTCACCTCTCCTCTTGTATTTTAGATTATTTTCTTGTTATTTCTTTGTTAATTTTTTAGATTCAAAATGAAAATATTATTGTTTTTACTTGAAAATTTAAATTCAGAACTTTTGGATAAGAAAATTCGAGGCTCCAGCAACTGTTGTTTGAAATGATTTCGATCTGAATTCTTGTGATGACGTATCTTTATGAACTTGTAAAAAAATGTCACATTATGGCAATTTTTTGGTAGATGAAAGTGTTACGTGTTTGAAAATGCCAAGATTTTGAAAATTTTGGCAGATTATGAAATTTTGTGGCATTGAATTTATTAGCATATTATTTCTTTCTTTTTCTTTTTCTTCTCATTTTTTATTCTAAAATGTCATTTTGTTATGTGATTATGTCATTAGTCAATATGAAAATGTCATAATTTTTAACGTGAAAATGCCATATTTTAATCTGAAAATGACATGTTTTTGTTTTAAAAATGTCAAGAGGATGACATTACGACTCTTTGGAATTGTCATTTTCTTTTTTGAAACTGACACCTTAATTAGAAAATGTAATGTCATAAAAGTGACATTATTACAAATAGTGTTTGATTAAACATCAACTATGGCATTTTCAGAAAAATAATATACTTTTAAAAAAAATCAGAATTAATAAAAATTTGGAAATTCAAAAGAAGAAGGAATTGAAATAGAAGATTTGTAGAGGAAGAAATCACGGAAGATTGAGAAGAAGTTGACAGAAAAGTAAAAGATGAAGAAGAAGAATTTACCTGGGCATAAGCCATCCGTCATCGCTAGCGATATTGTCGCACCGCACCCATCGAACTTTCATCTCTCAGCCCATCCATTTGTCCGTTACAGGAATTAAGGATATTTTTGTCCAAATACAACTAATTAGTCCTACTTAGGAAATTTAAAACAACATGTCCTATTTTTGAAATTCTATCAACTTTTAGTCCTGTTTAGGAAATTCTCTCTTTAATATTTTATATTAAATTTTCCACTTGCATTAAAAATACTCTTTTGACACATTTTAACTTCTACTTTTTTCAAATCAATTTTATAAACACTATTAACATTTGATGTTAAACATTTTTCATACAATCTCTAAATATTTAGATTTTAAAAAAAAAACACAAAACAAACGGAAATATTACAATGTTCTATTTGCAAGTCATGATTTCTTAAGCGTGTTAATGTCGGCCAACCCGGTCCCTCCTTCGAGAGTGGAGACAGAAGTACGCTTATTTGCAAAATTTATTCAAACGTAGCAGTTACACATGTTTGTACTTTTGTTCCCATGCTAACCTTTTTCCAGCTAAGTATCATTGTATCATAAATTCATATCGTAATTGCTGTCGAGGAAAACTATGTATCTTAATCCATTATTTCCCGTTATAGTACTCTTATTAACTAGAGCAATAATAGGTCAGAGCAAAAGTTGAGATCTGAGCTAGAGAAAAGGAGTCAAAAGGTGTCAAACTACATTACTGTTTTGGGAAAGTTCCCGAAATAGGACTAAAACAGTTTGGAAATTCCAAAATAAGACTGACATGTTTTTTATTCCCATAATAAGAGTAATTACTGCCAAGTTTGGAAAATACTGCCATGTTTAAAGTCTGGTACTGCCAAAACATGGCAGTAATTAGTCCTGTTTTGGGAATAAAAATATGTCAGTCCTATTTTGGAATTTTCAAACCTTTTTAGTCCTATTTCAGGTAATCTCTATTGTTTTTTTTTTAATTAATCTTTTTTGAATTATAAAGGGTAATGATATATTTTTACTGTGTTATAATCCCTCTATGCTCCTGTCATTATCAAAGTTTCAATGATTTGGTCTATAGTTCTTTACAGAACAAAATGAATCCATCCGAAAAATAATAACTATACTAGTATTAGTACACATTTAAAACTAGACTAGAAGTTCCATTAATCCGTAAAAAAGTATGATAGAATTTATAATTAAAATCATATACTACGTATATTAAAATAGAAATCAGTCACATTAATAATCACTACGGAGTGTACTAATTGGATTCAGGACGAATGAGTCAATAATTCTAAAGAATCCATGTATGAGTATTTTTAATGTGTACAACCTTGGTGTGCAAATACTCCATTGCATACAATGCAAGTATATTTCCAATAAAAAATACTTGATGTGCCAATAAAAAAACTTGATGCAAAACCAGCAATCAACCTAAAATTTAACTCCAAGATATTCGAAGGTGAAAAATATTTACCCTTTCATGAAACTTTGGGGATACAAATAAAGTGTCAGGAAATGAGTTAGAGAATGACAAAGTCATCTCAAGTTCACAATAATTATACAACTCAGTGTCCAATTACTTACTGGAGGATACCTTCGCTATCATTCTAACATTCCATGCTCAACAGTCTCCTACCATACATATCATTTTCCTTTATTTTACCATTACTGGTAAAGGAATGTTAACAATATCATGCTATTAGTGTTTGGTAAAACCTTGCTTGAAAATAAGCATAAATAAGCGCTCACCAATTGAGCACTTAATCTTATCCACAAATGTAAACACAAAGAATCTAAACCTTTACCAGCATATCCTCCTAATTGTATTTTCCACTTTCTAATTTCACAACAAATGACGATAGCTCCGGCCCCGCATAACTCGTTGCCATTGATACTGCAGTGACTTCTTGAAGCCCATTTCCATACGCTCCTGAACAAGCCTGCAATAGATCCGAAAGGGTTGGTGACACAGAGTGACAAACCCTGGAAGAGCTTCAGAAATCATTATTGAAAACACGCGCACACAAAAAGTGCACATAGCTCCTACCATCTGACCAGGCACCTCTGTATACCCCTAGATATTGGACGAACAATGGATGGATCCCGTTGCATGTAAAGCAAGCCAACCTAAGGATACGCACATCAGCTTCAAAAGTTCAAAACTGGGTGCAAGAAATCAATTTTTTTTTGTTTAATTAGTCCTCTTGAACTTTGGCTGTAACATTTAGAAGATTGCATAAACACCACAGTATGATACTTGGCAGCGTCCATACACAACTCCATCCCCGCAAAAAAAAAAAGAGAGAGAGAGAACCCCTCATGGGTACTCCACTACAAGGCAGTGTGCGAGGAATTAGATTTTTTTGTTTAATTAATCCTCTTAAATTTGGTTGTAACGTTTAAGAGATTGCATAATCACCACATTATGATACTTGGCAGCCTCCATACACAACCCTCACCCACACAAAAAATAATGACCGTCATGGGTACTCCACTAAAAGGCAGTTAAGCCACAAATTTAAAACGAGACATACAGGGAATACCTCTATTAATGCAACAGCACACGGATCATCGAAAATTTCAAGACTGCAATCTTGCAGGTAGTTTAACTGCAATAAATCCATAATTCCCATCATTCACTAAAATTATGATCTGAAGGGTGTGAACAACACTGCTCCAAGTTTAATGCGATGTCTATTATACATATAATATGGCACAGTAAGCCATATTGAACATATTGAACAGAGCAAATAATGTGATTAATTATCCTTATTTTCCTAAAAGTACTACTACATTCATATTTACCATGTTTTACTATGGTTCTTAAATGAATACTTTTATAATCTAAAAAAGAGCACATTTTTAGGGGAAACTGTTAATTTGGTCCTCGTACTATCACGAAAAAGTAAATTAGTTCCTCATATTTAAAAAAAAATCAATCAAATCCCAATCCGCAGTGACTATGCTGACGTGATGCTTTTTTTTCTTTTTTCTTTTTTTACCGGGGAGCGTAGCTCACCTGGTAGGAAGGGAGTGCCACAAGGGAGAGGTCCCGGGTTCAACTCCAAGCAATGACATGGGATGGAGCCCCACTCTCTTTCCATTAGAGTGAGATCAAAGCTCAATTTACATTCTCCCAGCTAGCTGCCCGGTCGGTGTTGGGGGGCCCTCAGGGATGGGGTGTCATCCTTTTTTTTGCTGACATGACGCACACGTGGAGTCGCGTGTGCGCCATGTTAGCGGGTGACCTGCTGACGAGACAGGTAATATGCTAATTGACCCAATTGAAAATTTTTCAAAGTTCGGGGATTTAATTGATATTTTTAAAGTATGAGGACCAAATAGACTTTTTCGTGATAGTATGAAGACCAAATTGACACTTTTCTCAATTTTTAATAACATCGGGAAAATAATCATAAACGCTTCATATAAAAAAACGCCCCTCTCAAAAAGGTGCCTTACAAGTTACAAGGACCAGCGCAACTATAATGAACCTTACAAGTTACAAGAAGGACCAGCGGAACGATAATGAACCTTATGAACGTATGCGGACATGCAACACTTCCATGAGCAACAGTTCTTTAAGGTTCCTTATTTAGATATCACTTGTATTTGAAAATCAAGGTAAGAGATAAATACTACTCTCTAGTCTCTACAAACCAAATTTGAAAGTCATACGAATATTCATGAGTGACAAATTTATTTCTAATTTAAAGCATTTGAAACATGGAAGAGTAGTCTGGAAATGCATGCAAAGTTACCAATTATAAAGTCAGAGTTAAAATTATATTTGCACACTACAACTGAAAAAAAAAATCGAGACTATGAATGTGATACCCCAAATTCTGCATTGACAAGCGACTGAACAAAGTCTAATAGTTGAATCTTAGCCCACTCACGACACGAGGCTTGGTCATTGGCATGTGGAAGATTTCTCCAAGGAGCTCCAAAACACAATTTGTCTTTTGGAATTCGTCCACTATGTACATCGTTTGCAAACTTCTGCACCCTTGATAATGCCTTGTCCATGGCAGGATTAACCACAGTCATCTACAAAATGAACAAACACAGAACGCGGCATCAAAAGCAGTTATAGTGGTGTATATAGGAAAAAGATGCAAATTGCTGGCTGTAACTTGGGAAGGTTACAGGAGATTAACCTTGAGCTCGGGGGAGGGGGAGGGTCACCAGACTTTTGTAGGATTCAAACTCCCAATTGGCAAACTAGGCTTGACCCTAAGAGCCGATTTAGACATTTAGTAAGAGCTATTTGGCTGGATTGCTGGAATGGCTGAATGCGATGAACTTTTTTAAAGAAAATGTTTGGTAGCATGCATTTCCGCCACACAAGGAAGTCAAAAGCTACTTATTCTGATCATTAAGCATGGTAAGACACTTTTGGCTACCAAACAAAGCTAAGTTCCTCCTGCCCTACACTAGAGCTACCCCTCAGGTCATTAAACTATTGAACTCAACCATAATGAGCAGTGCATTCTATACCAATATGCAGGGCAATAAACATCTCTCTTTACACACACAGACAAACTAAAAGTAAAGCTCAAAGGAGGTTTGCAGTTTAAAAACAGATAACAGTAATCAATAATGTTGTCTCTATTTGAGGGACGTACTTGTAGAAATGCCAGGTATGCATCAACAATGTCCTCAAATGTATTCTTGGCATCCCTACAGTTCCAAGTGAGATACTGATGAATATATAAAAATGACTTAACGTAAAAACTGTTCAAGTATACGATAATACATACAATACTCCGGCAACAAATAACGCAAATACACAATGAAAGGGTGAAATTAAGACGACAACTTTCACATGATGGGAGGTGAAAATCATTATTCCCTCTTGGCCTCTAAATATCTCGTTAATTCTGTCATGTTTTCCCATATGGACATCACAATGCTACTCGCTACCATAGCCATATCATCACTATTGTAGTGATGCAGAAATAGAAGGTTCTCCGTAATGTCGCAACAAAAACCTATAGTTTGTGTTACATTAGTTAACCCTTAGTTCACCTTTGGTTATAACTGATGAGATTAGATGTGAATTTACAGAATGTGAGAAACTGAGAGCACAAGAATTTAATATATGTTTGGACAATACATAAGAAACTAAAGGTAAATCATATTACCCATAGTGTTACCTCGTCTGAATAAGTGGGAGGGATATGATATTAGTATATTACCATGGTAATTGTTAACGCAGATTTTTTGCTAATGGAGGGCTTATTCACCTAGGAATGAGATTTTACAAACATAAAAATCTCATATATGGCTGCCTCAGAGTCTCAGACAATCCATTAGCTCCTACCTCCTTTACGTAGTTGGCTATCTCAACTACTCATAACATCATTGGCTTGCTGCCTTGCTTTTATCCCCACTTTGTATTTTAAAGCACCTTGTACAGTTGTACATCTTTCTATCATTAGAAAAATAAACACACTTCAACTGACCGTATTCTGCATTGAAGTGTACAGAGATATATTTACCATTCATGAGTTTAATGAAAGCACAGATAGTTTAGTGAACCATTTTGCTTTATTCCATCATATTCCCAGTTAAGTAGCACTCGGATTTAAGGCATAAAATCAGCATGCGTGAAGGAATATACGTTAAGAGTAAGCAGGTTGAATAAGCACACAGCATCATGTTACAACAATGCAGCACATAATGTTGCATGCACTCATACTTACTTTTGGCAATAGCTACTTAATTTCAGTGCATAAAGCTCAAAGAGATGCCTCGGGTTTGATCCTAAAACTTCAACAATCACATCCAACTGTAGATTCAACGAAGTGTTAAAAATTAAAATATAATCTCCCATCAGAATAGGGCATGTGCACATTTAGTCATTTATGGATACATAGGGATGCATATTTGTGCAAGGATTAGGTCATACCTCAGTCTTGCTAAAAAACTGACCAGTCAAATGCATTTTAGCTTCTGCAGGAGTCCATCCAAATGTCTACATTATTTACCACTATTATGTCATCTTACAATGACAAGATGCCAAATGTGACATGAACAACCAATACAACAACAACATCCAAGCCTTAATCCCAAAAGCTTTTGGGGTCGGCTAACATGAATCAATCCATGATATCGATGCCAAAAAGGAAAGACAAACAAGAAGAAAAAAAGGATAAAACGAATAAGATAAAGATAAATACATGCATACAAAAATCGTCAAGATGTATCTTCAGCACATATGCACTCACCAACAAAGCTGATGCACCTCACAAACAAAGTGAGTTCACACTAACTCTCTAGAAACAATTAAACAACACTCTTATATTCTAACCTACTTTTAAAAAATGGCAATTATATCAAAGTTCATACGTGTTAGAGAGACTAGTGGAGCGTCAAATAGGTTGTTAGATGGATTATCTTTTAATTCAAAATTAATCTTATGGGTCTGGGCTATACACTCTTACTTTCCAAGTATATAATATGCCTTTATGTATTAGCTATATACAGCGATTGCAGTTAATACGCTTGAATGCTTCATAAATAAAATGATTTATTTTTCATAAAAGAAATGTCCAGCGAAGTATCTTGGGTCGTATTTGATAATAACAAAAATAATTTAACATATGCAAACCATGGACACCTCACATGTCTGTCCCAGTTTGCATGTACATATTTGCTGATGGCACTTTGCTTTCCATTTTGTGTCAGTACTCAGTAATATTAAAAAAATCCAATTAATCACCTGCAAGTTTTAATTCCTAAAAGGTGCTGTTCCAGATTTATTATTTATAATAAATGTTAATGGAATGTTAGTGGGCTGAGAATCTTGTAAATATGAACTTACGAGGTTCAGGAGTGAGTGAATCTAATAGAATGCATAGGACTAGTAGTTGTATAATTACTGAAGTCCTTTATAAGATTCACAGTATTGCATTTAGAAAAAAAAGGATATTTCTAAATGAGGAGAGGGGTATTAGTTCTCCCTAGTAATTGTAACATAATATGACAAGAAATTGAGTCAAATCCAAAATACGCATTCACCTACATACATAGGGTCTGTTTGCAACAGCTTCTGCTCTAAAAAAAAGGGTTTTTTTTATGAAATGGGGAGAAGTGATTAAATAAAAGTTGATAGTGTTGGAGAAAAAAGTGATTTTGAAAAGTAAAAGTTGGTAGTGTTTGGTAAAATAAGTGCTTTTTGTGTAATAGAAAAAGTAAAAGCACTTTTGACACGAAAGTCGAGAAAAATAAAAGTTGGTAGTGTTTGGTAAGATAAGTGCTTTTTAAGCCAATAGCTGAGAAGTGTTTTTTAAGCCAAAAGCTGAGAAGTGCTTTTTTTAAAGCATTTGCAAACCAACCCATAATTCATAAATGTAATTTAGGCATAATAGTTCTTTGGGGGTGCAAGAAGGATATTAGGGATGAAAATTACCTCACGGGAGATGAAAATATCTGGAAATCCAAAATCAATGTAAGCACGATATGAGTAATAGCTGCAAAAAGTTTGATCAGAGCCAGCATAAAAGTTTATAGGGAGCAACCAGAACTAAATCTTATATCATAAAACACAAAATGAAAGCATATTAACAAGCTTAAAATATTTTTTTTAAAATGAGTAAAAAGAAATTACGTTCGAAAAGGTACCAAGTGTGTACTTGCCCATTCAATACAATATTTGTACCAATCACACAGCACTATGATGCATTTGATCCTTATTTGTTTAGGGAAGAGTGTGAAAATAACCCACGACTAGGTTCAATAGTGCAACTGAACCCCCAAATTCGATACAAAGCAAATGAACTCTTAAATTCAATGGATAAGCTGTAACTCCTGTAAGTTTTCCAGACACTGTCATCTTGAACAACCACGATCTCTCACAACCACTAACCCAATTTCAATTCTAATTCCAATACCAATATATCTGGATACACGTACCATTAGCACTCCAGGGATGAACCGGACCAGAAAATGTGTGACAGAGGACGCTTATCTGATTTGTTATTCATCAATGTCAAATGCATCTTCAACAGATGTGAACCTTCTATTCTATGTGAAAATTCCATTCTATGTGGAATTCTATTCGTGAAAATGGAGCCCGACGAAGTCTGATGGCAACGTTGGCTCATTAGATCATGAGACCTCCTCCCATATGTGATCTGATTGGGGTGCATATAAAAAACCTCTGCTAGGCAACTCATCAGGGGTGATTGTGAAGCCCCGTAATTGGTTACAGATCTTGGCATTTTTTGGATATGAAAAAAATCATATTATTGATAACATTCCATATTAGTCTGCAATATTTATCGTTATTATTATTAATATTATTATTATTTTGTTATTAATTTATTATTATAGCTATCGTTATTATGGATGCCACATGAGCTTTAAATGCCTACATGGCTACCTATTCTTGCCAAATAAACACCAAGTAATCAGCAAAACTGATTACCCAAAGGTAACCTTTAAAAAGTGAGAATTGAACCAGCTTTCATTGATATAAGGGTTCAAACTGAAGTTTTTTTTAATCAGGGGTCCAATGGCATTATTGCAACTAGTTTAGAGTCTTATTTGGCACTTGCCCCTTTTGTTTTTCTTTCTTTCTTTCTTTTTGGGGTAGGAGGAAATTACACATAAAACTGAACTTTTGGGCTTTTAAAATCAATAAATGAAAGTAATTAGTCTTGGACTCTTCTAATATTTACACATTTCTGGATATTTTGCACACCGAACAAGTGTGTTCGGTTTTAGCCCTAGATTGGTGCTAAATGACAGATATGCTTAACTTATCTGTTATCACTTGAATAATGCAAAAGGAGTTCAAGTATGCCATCAAATGAATTAGCATGGCATTACCTATCTGAAGTTACAAAAATAACTGGGAGACATCGCTCGTTCGCGCCCAATGCTATTATTCTCCATATCAAACTATCATGATACATGGATGCACAGACTGAAGAATCATCTATTAGTACAGCATTCTTTAACACCTCTATGTTGTTCATGACCAACTTCGGCTACAGAATTAAAAAAAGGCAAGTAAAAATAAAGAACAGCATAAGAATTGGGAAGAAGTGTAATAAAAACATATGTGAATTGCAACGGTATAAATAATTACAATCTTCTTACCTGAAAGTAGTCAACTTCGGCTGCTGAAGACAAGAGTTCGATCAATAGAGAGGGCCAGTCTGTAGCAGAATTTGCCAAAGACCTTGAAAACCCACCAGATTGATTCAAATGCTTGACTGCATTACTTCTCCACTTCTGCTGCAGCCTCATAACAGCCTTGGCCAGCTTCAAGGCTGCCAATGATTCTCTGTTATACGACCCTTCCTCCTCTCCATCCAATCCACTGATCTCCTCGGCATTTAGTCGAGCAGATGCAGCTAATACTGCCCTTTCCCACAAATTAAGTGCTGATTGGACCCTAGTGGCGGACACATAAGTTCTGGGACTGTTTGACAGATCATCGGCACTCAAGATCTGCTTAAGAGCTGCAGTGAGTCCGTGCCACTTGTTAAGGGTTGTGAATATCTGGTGAGAGCTTATCGTGCATAGCTTAATGCCCTTCCACGCCAACGATTCAAGGCAGCTCTCTAGTTGGGACTGGAGAATGGGTAGCGGCTGGGGAGGGCAGTTGGACCAAGAATCCCAAGGAAAAGAATGGCCATGTGCAGGATGGTGATCTGCTATTGGTTTCGCAAAGTCTACATAGCCTGTGACATGAGGGCCGCTGTTCCATTGGCTTAAGAGACCTGGAAAAAAAGGAAAATGTCAGAGATGATATGGCAACTACAGGAGCAACTGAGTGAGGTGTAGTAAGGGTTATTAAGGGTTATCACGTTCAAGGATGAGAGTGGTTTTGCCGACTCCACGAGGCCCGTGAAGAATGAGAGGCTGTGGGACGCGGTGTTGCCGGGCATGGTTGCTGAGGACGGCCTCCATGAGAGGTCGAGGGATAATTTTCCATGATTTTTTCACCATCTTTGCTTCTGGTCACTGCTACGAATACCAACAGTTTCTTCTTACAAGGAATGCCGGAATAGCCTGGAGGAGGACATGAGTTTTTTGACGAAATGTTTCACCCTCTGCTATCCCCCACGCTCATGCAGGGAGGGCCGCACGGATTTCTCGGGATTTCGGGAATTGAGGGTCCGATTTTCCCGGCGACTGAGGGCAGAGAACGAATTACGGCGGCGGTGCGACTAGGAGGAAGGAGCGATCGAGCAACGGAGGTCTGAGTGGTCGTTTTGTACTCTTCACTGGCCTTATTGTTCGAACAACAAGCTACATTGAGCTGAAGTTGGAAAAAAATGGCTGGAATATAACGCTATAGAAGCAAGCGTTTCTCTTTAGACGGTCACAAATGCAATTTTAATTCCTGAACTACCCCGTTGCTTCTCTTCCCAAAAATTATTCATACGGTAATCTCTAAGAACCCGTGCCTTCACTGCTACGGAGTATATTACTCTAAATCCTATAATCACAAATTTTGGTCTTCTAGAGTTGAACCAGAATAGTCACCGACCTTGAGGATCATTCCGGTGAAGAAAATCTCTCTCCTTGATGTGATGTAGTTGGACCGTCAAACCTGATTTCCGGGGACCTGTGAAGCTACTCACTCGACTCTGCAACTTCGCCGGGGAGGAAGATCTCGTCAGGGCCGTGCTCTCTTTACTAATGGCCTGGACCCGGTTCGGGCCGCCCGGCCCGGGACCGGCCCCACTGTGCGGGCCCGGAACCGGCCCGGTTCTCGGGTCCGGGTCCGGTTCGGGCACAGACCCGGTCGGGTTAGCGGGACCGGGCGCGGGCTCGGGTCCTGGTTTTGGAGGCCCGGCCCGGCTGGGTCGGGCCCGGGCCCGGGCCTAACGGTCCAAAATTTAAAAAAAAAAAAAAAATGCTTCTTTTGGCTCAACGGCCACCCCAAACGGCTATATAGCCGTTGGGTGGTACCAGGGGGGTCAGGGGGCTTTGGGTGGGGGTGGGGTGGGGTTAAAAAAAACCTATAAATACTCCTAATTTTAAACATTTTTTCACACCTCTTCTCCAACTCTACCTAAATCCTACTCTCTACTCATCTCCAATTCTCCATATTCATCTTCTCAAATTCTCTTATTCTCCTTTATATTTTATTTTACTATTTAATACTTATACAATTATTATATCTACTTATATATTAATTATCTACTTATATATTATTATCTACATATACTATATTACTTATATTTCTTATCTACTTAATCTCTACTTATATCTCTTAATACATACATACTATATCTACTTAATATATACTTTATATAATAAAGTATGAAATATACTTTATAAACTATTACTATATACTTAATACATAATAATATCTACTTCTCTACTTATATTTTATATATACTTATTTTCCAATCTCCAATTCTTCATTATACTCTAATATTTAATTCTTATACAATTATTATATCCACTTAATACATACATTCTACATCTACTTAATACTCCCTCCAGTTCTAAATAAACTTCTCACTTTCCTTTTTGGGACGGTCCAAAATAAACTTCACACTTCCTTATTTCCTTATTTGGCAAAGAAATCTACACCAAAACAGTGCCAAACAGTGTCTCAACAGTGCCAAACAGTGTCTCAACAGTGCCAAACAGTGTCTCAACAGTGTCTCAACAGTGTACTCTACAGTAAAGTCAACTTTATTTCCTTAATAACTGTGAAGTCAAACTCTGAAGTTTAAAAAGAACCGAAGGGAGTATATATTTTATATATTGAAGTATAAAGTATAAGTGTATTACTCATCTTATAGTAGTATAGTTATATATTATATAATATAAACATTATATTATATATTACTTACTATAACTAGTATTATACTAGTTAATTAGTTAATTAGCATTCTTGTTACATTTTTCATTATACTAGTTAATTAGTTCATTACCATTATTGTAACATTTTTCATTATACTAGTTAATTAGTTAATTAGCATTCTTGTTACAATTTTCATTATACTAGTTAATTAGTTCATTACCATTCTTGTTACATTTTTCATTATACTAATTAAAGTACTTCACATTTTATTTAACTAGTTGTTAGTTTGTTACTCCCTCTGTCCCTAAAAGAAGTTCCATTTCACTATTCCTTGGTCAACTTAAATCACTCTTAATCTCTTACTTTTTATATCAAAATTTTATAAAAGTTGAATTATTTTTTGCAGGCTTTGTAGCGGGTTTAATGTAGTTTCTGAATATGTAAATTTTATTTACTAAAAATAATCCGAGTTTTCACAGGGATCATTTAACTTTATCGTCGGTCAACCTCGTAAACCGCAATTGGAACAACATTTAGGGACGGAGGGAGTACATTTGTCACTATACTAGTTAACTACTTAATTAGCATTGTTGTTACATTTTTACTTGTACTAGTTAATTACTTCAAAAGTTGCTATAATTTTAATTGTAGAGTCACACATTAATTCTACTTTGCACAAAATTAGTTTGAAGTATTAATTAAAATAGTTTTAATTAGTTGCATTAGTTTTGTATCCATTATTATATTTGTTGTGAATTAATATTTGTTACATTTTTTTAGATGGAAGGTGGTAGATATTCGGTTGATTTGGGTAACCTCCAACGCAATCGAAGAAACGAGATTGAGAGGAAGAAATCCCGCAAAGGTAAAGAACTTGCCGGGTCTTCATCTCAAAGCCGAGATGATTTTGAAACGGGTTACCAAAGGCGAGATGGAGATGCGATGTCCGAAGAACAACTCCAACAAGAATTGGCCCGACATAATAACCGCTTTCTACAACAACAACAAATGCCGACGACCACTGACGAAGAGGAGCTTGAGGATGAAGATGCGGAGGAATTGGAACCGGAGACGGCTGAGGAGGAGGGTGCCGGCGGCCACGACGCCGACGCGCCTGCCTCATCCCAAACCGCCACCGGTAATAAAAAAAGTAAGTCTGAACTAATGAAAAATAATTTTGATAAATGGAAGGACCCACAAACCGGCTATTGACACGCAACTTGCAAGTGGTGCAACAACAATTATAGTTTGGGAACCTCCGGCGGATACGGATCCGCCGCAAGGCATCTTAAGGCAAAGCACCCCGTGGAGTATGCAAAATTAGGCGGCGGAACGGGGAAGCAAACTCAAATATCGAGGTTTGCGAATTCTCAACCTTTTGGTGATTTCTCCTACAATGATGCACAAAATTTGACTGGTATGGCTAACTTAATTTGTGAAGAAATTTTGCCTTATTTGTTTTCTGAAAGTCTTGCTTTAAGAGATTATGCACAAGGTAGTTTAAATCCTCAATTTAGAAATTATAGTCGCAAAACTGTTAAGAAAGAAATAATAAGGCTTTATAATGCGGAAAAGGTAAGGTTACAAAATTTTTTTGCAAACTTTGATGGGCGTGTTACTATTTGTTCTGACATATGGGAGGATGATTTTCATCATTTATATTATTTGGGTCTGACTGCACATTATATTGATGAGGATTGGAATATGCATAAACGTGTTCTTGCTTTTCGTGAATTTAATGATCGTCACACCGCTGAACATATTTATATTTTGATTGAGCGTATTTTAATTGAGTATAATTTGATTGATAAGGTGTTTGCTATTGGTTTCGATAATGCTACTAATAATACTGCTGCTATACCTAGATTGCGTGAGTTGTGTGGTGCCAATTCTTTGATGGGTAGATTTTTTCATCAACGCTGTGCATGTCATGTTATAAATTTATGTGTGCAAGACGGTTTAAAAGCGTTAGGAGATTCCATGGAGGTAATAAAGGGGGGGATTAGACGTATTTGGGGTAATGGTCAACTTAGATTAAAATGGCAAAGTTATTTGACTGAAAGAGGTGTGAGATATGTTGCTTTTCCTAAAGATTTGAGTATTCGTTGGAATAGTACTTATAAATTACTTAAAGTTGTTCTTAGATATAAAGAACATTTTCCTGCTTTTTTAAAAGAACATGATAACTATATTATAAACGCGGCTGAGATCGACACTTGCGAAAAAATTTGTAATGTTTTGATATATTTTTTTAATGCTACTGAAACTTTTAGTCATGTTTATAAACCTACCGCAAACCAATTTATTCCACAAGCTGTTAATCTCGCCGATGCTTTTAAAGAATTTCAAAATGCCGTTTTCGTTCATTATTTTTGTGATCATATGAAGGAAAAGTTTTTAAAATATTATGCGCATATTCCCCATATTTATGGTATTGCATTTATTCTCGATCCTCGTTATAGACTTGCTAATTTGGAAGATTGTTTCAACTTCTATTATCTTGCGTTTTTCGGTGAATTTCCAATGTATGACGATAACCCCATAGATCCGAAAACGGAATACAACGATGTTAGTGCTTTATTTTATGCCTTATTTAATGAGTTTCGTGCACAATATAGCCCCCCCCCCCTCCCGTCACGAACATCTTCATCTAAAGGAAAACCGATTTTTAAATCTGCATTTGGCAATCTTATGAAAAAACTAAAACAACTCACGTCACTGAACAAAGCGCATTGAATGAGATTACTTTGTATTTAACATATGAAGTTGATTTTGAAGAAAATGATGACTTTGACGTTCTAAACTGGTGGAAATCAAAAGAAAGAACGTTCCCGATTTTAGCACGGATGGCTAAGCAAGTACTATCAATGCCGGTTTCAACAGTTGCTGTGGAACAAGAATTTAGTTCGGCCGGCAACGTCCTAACGGCATCTAGATCGAGATTGAGCGCGGAGTCTCTTGAGACGCTTATATGCTACCACGATTGGTTGAAGGCCGCACGTAGAACTCAAGAATTGAGCATCACCCCCTCCCAAGATTTTATGGATGACTCAACAACCGATGGTGGCTCTACCTATGCCGGAGATTCCGATTGATTAGTATTTTAGAATTTATTACAAAATGTATTTTATAGCACTTGTCAAATTTATTTATACTTGTACTTCATATTTCAAAATTGTAAACTTGTACTTCATATTTCAAAATTGTAAATTTGTAGTTGCACTTCAAATTAATTTGTAAACTTGTACTTCATATTTCAAATAAATATGTGTTCACTTTTTCATATGTAGCACTTCTCAAATTAATTAATTGGTTACAATCTAACGACTTAAAATTATTTTTTTAAAATATAAAGCCGGTTTTTAAATTAAAAATACATTTACAATATGTAATTTGTTTAAATACTTATACACCTATTTTGTAACATTTGTAAATTATAAATCAAACCACTTTTCTAAGTACAAATAGTTTTAGTTTTACTTAATTTATTAAATTAATTAATTTATTTTACAATATGTGTATAATTAAAAAAAATCAATTCAAACCTCCCAAACGGCTATATAGCCGTTGGGGCTATGGGTGGGGGGCAGGGGGGTCCCGGGGGTGGTGGTGTGGGGAGTGGGGTTCAAAAACATCTATAAATACATCTATTTTCTAACATTTTTTTACATTTTTTCTCCAATTCTTCTCAAACTCTTCTCCATCTTCATCTTCTCTTATTATCCTACATTCCTACTTATACATATACCATTTTAAATAGGGAAAGTACATCTTCCCTTATGCAAAACAATTTAGAAAATGAGCTAGTAATAATTATTACTCCATAATAAAACTAAATATTT